TGATACACTGCTGGCTGTATGTAGTGATACATTGTTGACTGTATTTAATGATACACTGCTGGCTGTATGTGGTGATACACTGTTGACTGTATTTAATGATACACTGCTGGCTGTATGTGGTGATACACTGTTGACTGTATTTAATGATACACTGCTGGCTGTATGTGGTGATACACTGTTGACTGTATTTAATGATACACTGCTGGCTGTATGTGGTGATACACTGATGACTGTATTTAATGATACACTGCTGGCTGTGTGTGGTGATACACTGATGTCTGTATTTAATGATACACTGCTGGAAGTATGTGGTGATACACTGTTGACTGTATTTAATGATACACTGCTGGCTGTATGTGGTGATACACTGTTGACTGTATTTAATGATACACTGCTGGCTGTATGTGGTGATACACTGATGACTGTATTTAATGATACACTGCTGGCTGTGTGTGGTGATACACTGATGTCTGTATTTAATGATACACTGCTGGCTGTATGTGGTGATACACTGATGACTGTATTTAATGATACACAGCTGGCTGAATGCAGTCACACAGTGCTGGCTGTGTGTAGTGATACATTGTTGACTGTTTTTAAAGATACACCCCTGACTGAATGCAGTCATACACTGTTCTTCTTCTGTCGTCAACTGATACCTTTTCGTCTTTTCTTGTTCATAACTTCTCTTTTACTATTGTCTGGAAAGACGGAAAGGTACCAATCAATTATTCAGCTTCTCTTTATTCATTTGCTAATTTAAAAAAAAAAAAGTGGGAGTGAGGTTGGGGGGAGAAAGAATTCACTGTTAATGAAAGCCAATTAAGTGGAACACAATTATCCTGTGTTGTGTGTAATCTTGATGATTGTGTTTTATGAATTACACGGCTGTTGATTGGGCCGTACAATGGCTGGCTGGAGTGAGGCCGGGAGGGACAAAGAGAGGCGGAAGTTTAAAGTGTCGATTCTTGTATGTGTTCAAGTGAACAGAAACTGGTTCCTGGTTGCCGCCCACACAAGCTAAGTGTGGTCACGTGGTGTTTGTTGTACTTGTGATTCCGGTCGACCAGGAAATGTGGATTCTGTGGCGGGGAAGGGAATAGAGAGAAATAAATGGCGTTACGTTTGTGATTCTTTGTTTGCGTGTTTGTGTAAAAAGTACTTTAGGATATATTTGTGGTCTACACGGGTTCCTCTTCTGCTTTAGGCTGCTGCAACTATACTCTTTTGGCCATCATAACATATTTCAGCATAACTCTAATTAATAGCTTAAAAAATGTTTAATAGAAGAGAGTAGATCTATTCTTCTACCCCCCCCCCCCCACACACACACACAATTTGGTCCCTGAAACCCACACGGATTTCTAATATACGGTAGCCTAGCCTGGAAAGCCCACTCTAGCCTAGTTTAAAAGTACCACTGTAGCCTAGCCTAGAAATCCTACTGTATTGTAGCCTAACAATCCCACTGTAGCCTAACAATCCTACTGTAGCCCAACCTAGAAATCCTACTGTATTGTAGCCTAGCAATCCCACTTTAGCCTAGCCTAGAAATCCTACTGTATTGTAGCCTAACAATCCCACTCTAGCCTAGCCTTGCTGAGAAAGCCCCACTGTAGTCTAGTATAGTTTAGAAGTCCAGCTGTGGCTTAGTATAGTAATCCCACTAAAAAACCAGCCTAGAAATCTCACTGTAATCAAGCCTAAAAATCCCACTGTAGCCTGAGCTAGACATCCCACTGTAACCTGAGCTAGACATCCCACTGTAACCTGAGCTAAACATCCCACTGTAACCCTGTCTAGTTTAGGCCGGAGAGGAAGTGAAGTTGTGCCATATTAAAAACATTCTGTAGCCTTATGTTTGATCTTTCAACATCTGCGCCAGTTGCTGCTCGGCAGTGACGACTGCTACATCCTCTATCCGGCCAGTGCTAACATTCGCCTCCATTGATGACCGGATGAATGTTCCATTGACAAAACTGCTGTCCTTGAACTGTAACCTTTCATCGGCCAGTACTTGCAGGCGATCGTTGCCCGGAAGTACTTATCCATCATTCACAAATGTCTGCGAATGCTCGACTGCGCCGAACCCACCAGTTTGTCTCGTCGTGTCTTTCCTAGTGCCACAGGACAGGTTATTGATCTCCCCAGAAGCCCAGATAGAGGGAACCTGCCGGAAGCTAGCAATCCTTTCGTGTTGTCTAAGTCAAAATGTCTGGCCTACCCCATGCAGTAGCATTTACACAGGAACAATATGGCTGGAAGCTCGATTCTGCAGAACAATTATAGTCAATTTTTCTGTTAGCCATTTATAACTGTGTGTGCTCAGTTTTGATTTTGTTTCTGAAATCGCAGTTATCGTTTATCTAGTCACACGCGCACAAACGTATATTTAACTGGAGAAATGTTTCTGGGCGTATTTCACTAGGCTTCGGGACTTCCCAGTCATCGATATTTGTTCAGTTTAGTTGTCTTCTCTTTCGTTCTTCTTAACATTGATACTTCTAGACTTTAGCTTGTCTTAGAAACCGAAGTTGTGGGTGTACTGCCGTTTTACAGATGTGGCTTATTTGCACGTATACTGTTGCTTTCTCTTTTCTCAGGCAGATACACTTGGATTATAAAGTTAGTTAGTCTTTTATCTTGACCCTAAGGGTCAAGCATAGGGTAGACGTTCTAGTTCTTCGTGTCTGGCGGTTCGTTGCCACCTGATTTAGGTCTCGGATATTCATTAAGACTATTAAGTAAGCACCATAATTCGACATGCTTATTAGGGGCTGTCGGCTCACCCTCTCCCCATCCCTAGATAGGGCCAGGAACCCACACGAGCAGTTTTTGTTTTTCTAAATGGTGTTTTCTTTATTACCTTGCTGTATGTTTGTACTGCACAGGTTAGGGGTCAAGCCGTTTGCCTTGCCATCTGAAGATAGTGGGTTCGCCTCCCTGACACCTCGTTCGGTTCACAATGGCAGTTTTTAAGGGGATCTTTATAGGAGTTGCGGAGTTCGTGCTTCTGCTTGCGGCGGATAGAAGCCTAGCCAAAGGATATAAACCTAATATAATGAAGTCGATCTTCTCCACTTTAACTATAGACATTGATAAAACTAGTGTAGGAGGAACCGGTGTCTAATACTGCCTTTAACTTTCCGTGACTGCAGCATAAGATAGCACGTTACATGACATCATCAACTTCAGTTTTTCTTGACTGCAGCTTTAGAAAACAGGTTGTATAACATCATCAACTTTAACCTCTCCACCCCACCCTCTCACCGGTGTTCAGAAGTTCGTGCACCGAGAAAAGATTCTCTCTCTGCGATCTGTTTGTTGGGACACTGATGCTAGTATCCGTTTGAAGAAGACGGCCATTTTTAAACTGAACCAAAACTGGGGCAAAACACACAGATCTAGCGCATACAGGAAGTCCTGGGCGGAACAGGAAACGGTTTCATGTAGCCTACTCTCTCTCTGTCCGTTTCCTTGTCTCTCCATCTCAGCTTTCTCTCTCTCTTCCCACTTCTCTCTCCCTCTCTCGTTCTCTCTTTCCCATTCTCTCTCTTTCTCTCTGTGTCGTTTTTGAGATACTTGGAAATAAACTAACTGTAGTAGTTAGTGAAGCCATGTGCAACCTAAACTTTCGCAAAACCGTGTGTGTTTGTGCGCATGCGTGCCGGAGAGAGAAGGAGAGAGAGTGAATATGAGAATGTATGTATGTATGTATGTATGTATGTATGTATGTATGTATGTATGTATGTATTATGTATGTATGTATGTATGTATGTATGTATGTATGTATGTATGTATGTATGTATGTATGTTATAGTTTTCTAATACTCTTTAATTAACATCATGTGACCCTGTCCAACAACTTAGTCTTACTAACACTACTGTGCCCTAACCATTTTAACCTCAAGGAATCCATTATTTCGGGTGTTTGTGAATCAGAATACAGGGACAAATTGAGCAGAGAGGGGTGCACTAAAGCGGAGGAAAAGTTTCAGTGTTATATTACAGTGGGTGAAGTGTTATGTTACAACCGTAATGTGTTATGTTACAGTGTGTGAGGTGTGGGGTTACCCGTCGTTAGCATATTATAACATGAGAGCCAGGGTATCTTTCTATTGGTTGTTCCCGTAGCAGCGCACTTCTGGGTCTCGTACGATCCACGGACAGGATCGATACTCCCACGCCTCGCCGGGAGACAGCTAGAGTGCAAATTGGCTTTCCGGCCTCATTCTCTGTTTTAGGCCTCAACTGTATTTTTGGTGTGTGTGAGAGAGAGAGAGAGAGAGAGAGAGAGAGAGAGAGAGAGAGAGAGAAAGGGGGGGGGGGGGGGGGTGGTTGCAAAAGAGAGGGGAAAGAGAAAGCGAAAACAGAAGGGAGAGATGTTTGAGTTTGCTAAAGTGTATGTTCCATAGAAAATATCTCAACTCTTGAGACCCTGCAAATTCATGTGAATGATTTCCTTCCAGTTTTATGAATGAATGCTCTGTAGCGATGAACTTGGAATCCATGATCATAAATGGACCCGTGGTTGCACCTGATGTCCCTGATATACGAGAGTGTTTGTGAATGAAAGCACTAGCCGGAATATTCTATGATGAACGTGATACTGGTTTTAAATAAAACAAGAAGCGGTAATTTAAATCCCGACTTCGTTCATATATGTTACTATTTATAGCTGATTGTATCCTGCACATATGAATAGAAACTAGAGTCCGGTCTATCAAAACTGTGGATCTGGAGTTGAAATGTCCAATGTGCATTCGTCGCAGAGCACCAATACCTTCAACTGATTACATTGTCTAGGTATCATCTGACATATAATTATTTCCTTGCCTGACTATAAGTGGCCATCAGTACCCATGTATTTATTTCTCATGCTGTATCGCCCAGGCATTATTGCCACTACACATCCGCACGTACACACACATTGTCCTGTCACTGTATGTCGTCCTGCACGACCGGCTCATAGGTAACTATAACGGGTTTTGTGTTTACAGACGGTGCCTGCAGAAATACTACCTCATCTGTACCTGGGAGACATCTCCCACTCGTCGCAACGTCAACTGCTGGACCACCTTGGCATTACTGCCATGTTGAACGTGTCTTCAAGTTGTGAGAACTTCTTCCAGTCGCACTTTCATTACATGAACATCCAGGTTAACGACAACATGGACGCTGACCTTTTGTCATGGTTCCCGAAAATCATCGACTTTATAGGTTGGTTCATACACGATTGTGTCTCTGTGTTTTCTGTTTGGGTAACTGTGTCACGATTTTATTACTTTGTTACTGACAGTTGATTTCTGTTGGACAGGGACTTAGGGAGCTTTCTATATATATATATATATTTAAAGTTTTATTCCACCAGGATTGCTTGCAGTCTGTAGGATGAACTTCTTAAGGATGAAGTTCAAACAGTTATTAATCACTGAAACCCTGTTCACACGTATAATCATATAGCGTAGTTATATTTAGGCCCCACTTTGTTCTTGTCCGTCAGGTGTGTGTTCTCAGCTCTATGCTTCATGGCAGCGAAACTTGATAAACTTATTCGCACTAGGAGAAACGACTAAAAAGCTTTCACATGCTATGCCTAAGAAGAATTCTTGGCATTAAGTGGCAGTATAAAATCACAAACACTGAGGTACAGGAAAGAGCAGGTTCTACAACAGTCTTCTCAGTGCTCAGTCTATGAAGGCTCAGGTGACTGGGTCACACCTGGAGAATATAGGTTGGCAGAGTCCCTAAGGACATTTAATTTGATGAATTAAAGACGGGTAGAAGATGTCAAGGCCGACCTCTGCTACGATGTGAAGATGTGTACAAGTGGGACATGAATGATACAGGTATTGAGGTGGACTCGGGGAAACAAAATATCATGGGCCGTGTTGTATGAAAGGGGCATATCAGGAAGGGGATGAGAGTGAAGGAAGAAATGATTGAAGAAAGGATGAGAGCTGAGCGTGTGATAAGAAACAGACTTAACACATATGTTGACAACAAAGGTCCTGAAATTGCATGCTATCATTGTGGAAGACTTTTCTTAACGCGGGCGGGTCTTGCTAGTCACACTCGCCATCACCATGGGCTGTCATGTCACAGGATATCTCTCTTCTGGAAAGACGGAAAGATGCCAGTCATTGGGGCCTCACAAAATGGTAACGATCTAACCCGAAGTCTAGTGTGGGTGGGTGTGAAAATAATTAGAATGACCTTGCATCATTACCAGCTGGGTCATAGAGGTAAAGGGAGATAAACATTACATTCGGTGCCTTCAGGACCAAAACCCACAATCCCCCGAGCCACATGCGGGTGTATAGCCGCTACACCACAGCGGCTTCCATCTAGCTGTGTAGCACAGTTATACTGGGGCATAGCCACAAAGCCACCTGCTGTCCAGTGTGGTGGTTCTTGACCTAATGATAGATGAATACTGTGGTTTCTGTGTGATTGTGAAGCTACTCGTTGAGCACAGACTACAAGCTCCTCCTGACTCTGTAGACCCTGACCATCTCCACAGTAACTGTTACATTGAGCTCGACCTTCCCTCTCCAAGTTCAGAAACTAGTGAAGGTGTGCAAGACTAGTACTGGGACTTTATATTTACAGAGGAGCAGATTAGAATGTAACTGGGTCATAATTCGACAAAGCTAGAGAAGACTAGCTAGGATTCGGCTTGGGTTGGTCATGTTTCTCTCCCATTTTGATGTAATCTGTTGCCTACATACTCAGCAAATGCCCAGGGAAGAAGTCTGTAACCAAATGATAATAGAACTTCACACTGAATGATTCACTTAGATCCCAGAATAGAATAGGATAGGCAGATTAAATGCACATATTCTAAGTCACATAAAAAGACAGCAAGTAAAATGGTTTGTCCACTTGGAAACAAAATGGCCGGTTATGCCATACTATACACAGCATTCACTAAAAGAGGGAGGTAGATCAAGAGATTGACCTAAAACATGTGGAAGAGTAACATCAGAGAAACTAAACAGTATGATGTGTACATGATTTCTCTTAAAAATCTCTTTTTTCACCTGAAGTAGTAAAAGAGAAAGTGGAGAAGAGAAACATGTGATGTAAAGTAAGGAATTTACTGTATGCGTTTGATAACATTTCTCTAACTTGTTCATTTGCAGACAGTGTTGCACAGCAAAAAGGGAAAGTACTGGTCCACTGTCGGGCAGGGGTGAGTCGGTCAGCCACCGTCTGCATCGCCTACCTCATGCAGAAACAGCACATGTCTTTGGATGCTGCCTTTGAGTTTGTGGTGTCCCGGCGACCCATCATAGACCCTAATCTGAACTTCATTCAGCAGCTGCAGAGGTTTGAAGCTTCTCTTCGCCCACGGCAACAGTCACATTTCTTGCTGCCATCTTTCACAGGCCTGACACAGGCAAAATCAGCACCACCTCTCTCCACAGCCAACTTTGCTTTCTTCCAGGAAAAACCAGATTGCAGTTTGCATCAAGACATGGACCAGTCATCTACATTGTCCATACCATCACTTCCGCAGCACGTATCCTGTCTTCTACATCCACAGTCTCCACATCATGTGTCCAGTAGCATTATTTTAGCCAACGAAAGACTTTCACAGACTAGTACCTCCATTCATTTCAACAACAATGTACAGTCCCCCGCCTCTCGGCCATTATCACTTCCATTAGTGCAGGTGACTAGTTCACTTTCTGCCCAGCATCCGTCAAACCCAGAGATCAAGTCTGGGTTATCTTACCTCTCACCATCTGCTCACCAGCCGCCATCATTGCATGTCTCACCTTTCCGAAGCATTTTCCACGAGTCTGCAGCAAGCGGTCAGTCATGTCGTGACAGCTATACCACTGCACCCAGAACCCCTATTGCCAGCCATCAGTTTTCATTTCTAAGCTCTGACATTGTGACCTGCCAAGCTCTTTCCATTTCATCAGATTTAGCATCAGCTTACCAGTGTCGGCCAACAACTCCTGGTGTCTTGGACACGAGTTCTGCAACATTTTTAGGATCGAAACATTCATTTCCTTCTGTCACTGTTCCACATTCACCCCTGTCTCCATTAGCAGTGCCCCTGTCACCGTTGCCATCCTTTGGATGATATCTGTGTGCTTCCACAACAGTGTGCAATCAAATCGGTGCCATTTGCAGTTTACTGGAATTTTCTAGATATCGACCAACAAATCTTGCAGTGTTTACTGAGATGCCACACACAAAAACTACGTTGACTGTTCATACAACAGCCCTAATTTATTATGTATTTATTTCTAATGTTTATAAGCTGTTATGATAATAGAAAATGTTTGTATTGAAGACACAGTTCTATAAAAGTTTTTAACTATATAAATTTAAATTTATTGGCAGTGATTATGGAAGCCAGTTTTTGTTTACAGAGAAGCAAGTGGGGAGTGGGAGATTTCATTGTGATCTGTAACTTTGGTTTGCATTTGTAGAAAGATGGAAAAGATTTGTCAAAAATGATTTTGATCTTTAACTCTGGTCTGAGTATTCTTGAAAGATGGAAGAGATTTTCAACATGTGATCGAAGTTAAAGTCACACAGAGTTTTGTTGTCACAAGTAATGATGTCCCTTGTTAGTGAGTTACCTCCACTGATGATCCGTAGGTTCCTGTTGGGTATTCTTCCACAGTCGTATCTTTTCAGAGAAGAAAAGAAGCTGGTTAGATTATTGCACATGCAGAAGCACTGAAACTAGCCACATCATTAGTTCAGCAGATGGAAGCTGTAGAGTAATCATCTCTTCAGTGGTGCTGCAGTTGTGTCAGTTGTTCAGTTGTAGCACCAGTAAACCCATTTCCTCTGTATGTACATTCCATGCAGTCACTGGCAGCATATATTAGGTGTTCAGTCTGCACCAGCACAAGACTGAGCTTATACTACCTTCTGTAAAACAATCAAATGCCAACAATAAAACTAGAAATCCTTAGATTCATGAAAACCGGTCACAGGTTAAATATAAATCTTGGGGCTAAAAAGCCCTTTTCAGCATTACAAAAATTAATTAAAACTGTTGGAAGCTTTCTAGGTCCAGTGTTCAATTTGTCACTTGTGATTGTGTTTTTGCAAATCTGACGTACTGTTTTCTATCAATTTTTTCAAAGTACTTTTACATTGTACTTTTCAAGCAAAATTGAATTGTTTGTTTAAAAAGTCGCCTAGCAGAAATAGCCCAATAGGAAAGAACATATGGTACAACTCGCAACCTCATCATTTGGCTGCATGATTTTATAGCAGTTCCCCCCGGACTGTCCTATGTTGCAGGGGTGTTATTAGGTGTCTTCCCTCACTGTCTATGAACAGCATGAGGAAAAACGGACTCAGTTTCGTTCAGTGAGGTCGACACACTATCTCCCAGATAAAACTATGCAGCTTTATTCCACCCACAACTCTCTTTTCTTGAAGGAGAGTTTTTTCTAGAATGTGTTGTTGTGATTAGATTTCAGGTGGCATAAGAGATGGTGCACAAGAAAGAAGTACTGCAGGAGAAAGCACTGAAGACACGATGATTCATAAATATCGAATCATTTATTGTTTTTATATTTTTAACGTTCGTGGGCAGTGGCTATGGCAGATGTGTTTTAAACGTTCAAATCAAGCACCCATTGATGCCTCTAGAACAAAGGCCGGCCCGTGGGGACTGCTACAAAATCATGCAGGCAGACAAGATGGGGTGAGAATAGAGAGTTCTACTGAATATATTTTGCGACAGATAAATTAACAAGTTTAAGAAACAGGTTTTATATCGGTTGAATTGTTTGTGTGTTGTGTCTGCATCGTTTTTACTGTTTGCACATCAATGATGCCTGTGGGTTCTTCCTTCACATCCAATTTTTTAAAATGTGTTTTTTAGAGTTTCTTGCTGGGCTGTTTAACAAAGTAGAGTTTCTTGCTGGGTTTTTAAAACAGAGAAATGTTTCTGAGCTATTGAATAGAGTAATGTTTCTTGTGGGGTTATTGAATACAGTAAAGGTTCTTGTTGGGTTATTGAAAACAGTAATGTTTCTTGCTTTGTTATTAAAGAGAGTAATGTTTATTGCTTTGTTATTAAAAAGAATAAAGTCTCTTGTGGGGTTGCTAAAGAGAGTAATGTATTTTGTTGGGTTGTTGAACAGAATAATGTTGCCTTTTAGGCTGTAGAGTATTACAGATGTGGGGAATCTTGTTATATTTCACTAGTCTAGAAAGAGAACGAACGAACGAACAAACTTTATTTTCAAAGGGTCACAGGCAGTGAAGAAATAAGTATACCTAAAACAGAAAGAAAAAAAAAAAAACAGGTGTTTTCTTCTGCACTTGTTTCAACATGTTAATTTACCGCTACATTTTGTTATATCACTATGTGTGTCCGCCAGCTTCCACTAAATCGTAAAATCGTGGTCTCTGAGGTTGCTTCTCTATTACATTTTTCTGGAAAGAATTAATTTTGTGCTGCATGTATCCAAGAAATGTGAAATCAGTTTGCTACAAGTAAGTAGGCTCCGTTTTAGGAGTCCTGCCCAGCTTATAAATCATGCAATGTATATAAATCTTCAAAGTTATTTAGTAAAAATCCATTGAAGCATCTTTATAATTGCTGGTACTACTGAAACTTTGAGAAAGTTATATCAAATGAAGATTGTATATGAGTCATTGTGCATTTTAGAATTCTACATACAGTACCATTGTTCTTTTTCCTTTGAATTGTGAACTGTCCCCACCATTGTTCTTTTTCCTTTAAATTGTGAACTGTCCCCACTATTGTTCTTTTTCCTTTGAATTGTGAACTGTCACCGTCATTTTTCTTTTTCCTTTGAATTGTGAACTGTCCCCACCATTGTTCTTTTTCCTTTAAATTGTGAACTGTCCCCACCATTGTTCTTTTTCCTTTAAATTGTGAACTGTCCCCACCATTGTTCTTTTTCCTTTGAATTGTGAACTGTCACTGTCATTGTTCTTTTTCCTTTGAATTGTGAACTGTCACCGTCATTGTTCTTTTTCCTTTGAATTGTGAACTGTCACCACCATTGTTCTTTTTCCTTTGAATTGTGAACTGTCCCCACTATTGTTCTTTTTCCTTTGAATTGTGAACTGTCACCGTAATTGTTCTTTTTCCTTTGAATTGTGAACTGTCCCCACTATTGTTCTTTTTCCTTTGAATTGTGAACTGTCCCCACCATTGTTCTTTTTCCTTATGATTGTGAACTGTCCCCACTATTGTTCTTTTTCCTTTGAATTGTGAACTGTCTCCATCATTGTTCTTTTTCCTTTGAATTGTGAACTGTCACCACCATTGTTCTTTTTCCTTTGAATTGTGAACTGTCCCCACCACGGTTTATCATATACAACTTGAGCTGGTGTTTTGTCAAGAGTGTGTTGTCAAGTGTGTTGTCAAGTGTGTTGTCAAGTGTGTTGTCAAGTATGTTGTCAAGTGTGTGTTGTCAAGTGTATTGTCAAGTATGTTGTCAAGTGTGTTGTCAAGGTTGAGTGCGAAAGGCTACATCAAAAGACATTTCTGGCAATTCTAATGAATCTCAACAGTTTACTGTAGTCAGTCCCAAGCGCTAGCACTGGAGATGCATTGTATACATGGAATACAGCAGCTAGTTTGTTCTTTCTCTGGAAGAAACAGGGCACAAGAATTATGGGCCGCGTGCAGAAAGAAGAGAGAGACTGATGAAGAAGAAGACATATATGGGTTACAACAGGGGACAAAATAGATTGGCAATCGTTCATTGAGATTCTTTTTCTCACCGAGGACTTGGACAAAATAAGCAGGAGAAACTCTTGATAAATACCTGCAACATTCATTTCATGTCAGATTTAATGAGGCAAAACCTGCCAGCAATGGTGTCCTTACATTTTCACTTTAAATTGGAAACTTTCAGAATCTTCCTTCTGCTGTTGTAAATTTGTTGTTTGGGATGCTCCTACTGCAAACAATAATATTTACTGCTGACTGTTAAACCAAACCTGGTTGATGAGCACAAACCACTAGATGGTAGTACCTTGTAGACTAAGACTGCCAGAGTGGGGACATTGACATAAATGCCAGAGTGGGGACATTGACATAAATGCCAGAGTGGGGACATTGACATAAATGCCAGAGTGGGGACATTGACATAAATGCCAGAGTGGGGACATTGACATAAATGCCAGAGGGGGGACATTGACATAAATGCCAGAGTGGGGACATTGACATAAATGCCAGAGTGGGGACATTGACATCAATGCCAGAGTGGGGACATTGACATCAATGCCAGAGTGGGGACATTGACATAAATGCCAGAGTGGGGACATTGACATAAATGGTTCCTACCTGTATTAATCTCAACATTCTTCTGCTCAATCCAAGTCAACTCTCAACTGGAGTTGGCAGATGTTGGATATTGGTGCTGGACAGTAGTTCAGTGTTGGTGCTGGACAGTAGTTCAGTGTTGGTGCTGGACAGTAGTTCAGTGTTGGTGCTGGACAGTAGTTCAGTGTTGAGGCTGGACAGTAGTTCAGTGTTGAGGCTGGACAGTAGTTCAGTGTTCAGGCTGGACAGTAGTTCAGTGTTGGTGCTGGACAGTAGTTCAGTGTTGGTGCTGGACAGTAGTTCAGTGTTGGTGCTGGACAGTAGTTCAGTGTTGGTGCTGGACAGTAGTTCAGTGTTGGTGCTGGACAGTAGTTCAGTGTTGGTGCTGGACAGTAGTTCAGTGTTGGTGCTTGACAGTAGTTCAGTGTTGGTGCTGGACAGTAGTTCAGTGTTGGTGCTGGACAGTAGTTCAGTGTTGGTGCTGGACAGTAGTTCAGTGTTGGTGCTGGACAGTAGTTCAGTGTTGGTGCTGGACAGTAGTTCAGTGTTGGTGCTGGACAGTAGTTCAGTGTTGGTGCTGGACAGTAGTTTGGTGCTGGACAGTAGTTCAGTGTTGGTGCTGGACAGTAGTTCAGTGTTGGTGCTGGACAGTAGTTCAGTGTTGGTGCTGGACAGTAGTTCAGTGTTGGTGCTGGACAGTAGTTCAGTGTTGGTGCTGGACAGTAGTTCAGTGTTGGTGCTGGACAGTAGTTCAGTGTAGAGGCTGGACAGTAGTTCAGTGTAGAGGCTGGACAGTAGTTCAGTGT